TAGCTTTTTAGTTCGAGTGACTATATTGGCACCAACCGAACAGGAACAGTCCACGAGGCTCTTTCAGCGGTTGTTTTCGTCTAGAATGATTTTACGTGAAATACAGCAATGATGTTATCCTTGGCCATGATAAAGAACTTAGTTGGCGCTTAAATGGCTAACCCTGTTTGGCTTATCACTTAGCATCATTGGCGGATCCACACTAGAATCCCTTCGAAGAAGACACACTCGTACACGTATGAAAATGTTTGAGACACCGAAAGTGTACCTATATATTACTTTACATAGCCGAACCTGACATTTTTGGGTTATTTACCTGACTGATAATAAATCATAAAGACAATCTGAACAAGCATTTCTATGCAACTTGTTAACCGTGTATTTCGGATCAAAATATAGCACGCCAATTTACTCAACATAGTTCGTCCACTGGCGCCTCATTTACTTGAGGTGGGTTTAGGATGGCAATGAAGCTGTTCGTCTGTATCCATTCTTAAGTTTCAATAGGTAATATTTTGTTGCCACTGATTTTCACCGCAATGTGACTATTTATCTAGTATACAAGCGATTTACACATTCGAACGTATTTTCAAAGTCAAGGGATACCAAGTTTGTACGGCTCCGGTGCACAGGTTCGGACACTTGACTGAATGTGGAACTGTGGTCCACACAATTCCTTCCGGATTAGAATCATGCTCCCTGTTCTCGAAATAATGCATCTCAATACTGTTGGGATAATGGATACTCCACCAAGTAGGCAGTATCCTACACACCATGCTTGCCTTCTTTGTCCTCCATGCCTCACTCTGCCCGGTATTTTTTATTTCCGGTGTCATTTGTGTTCTCATTCAGGCTGACGTTTTCCACGCGTATCAAGTCGTGCGTAAAAACAACGTACCAGCGGAGAATATAATTACCTTCGCCTACGACGATATTGCAAGCAATCCCAAGTAAGTATCGCGTAACACGTTTGCTATATTGTAGCAAGTATGGTTTAGATAAGGCGCTTCGTTTTTTGGCTTTACCACGTCTCACTGGTTTGCCGTATTTCTCATGTATATAATTGTTGAATGTGAGCTGCAGACAATTATGGGGTTCCATGCGTTACTTCAGATGTCATATCAGATTTTCTTTTGGTTGATGTCGTTTCATGACTCTAGACGCCATAGAACCCTGATGCAAGCAGCACATTCTGATGATGGTGACGATGATGTAGATGACCGTAGTGATGATATGTGCTCGTCTGAGTACTCGTTCGAGTAGCCTGAAATGAATCACATTGCTATCTAGATGTCGTTTTAGTGCATCACTTGGCTGATGATTTGTAGCGAATAGTAAGCACACAATGTAGTAAGCTAAACAATTTGTAATGCAGCTGGAGAGGAGAAGAAAGCTTCCTAAAGCATTACAATTTGCTTCCTGCGTGGAGACTGTAACACTCGTAGGTCGTTTATCGTCCAAACGTTCGCTTGGCTGTGGCATCTCTAAGGTGTCTAGCTGCCACGGCACGCCAAATTTGCACGAGGGCTGGGATACTGCCAGGATTCCCAAGCCTAGACAGAAGGAATCGGAAGGCAGAAGTGGGGCTGCAACTACGGAACTGCGCGTCGGTAAACTCGCGCCCTAGCCACCTGAGCCACCTCGTTCCCTACCCAATCGAATGACATTCAAGTACACTGCATATGGATATTCTCGAAAATCTACCACTGGTGGTGTTTTAATGTAAATTTACCTGAAAGAAATAAATTTTCGCACCAAATTTGTAATTGTTCTTGTTGTGCACTCTACGAGGAGCATTGTAGGATACCTAAATTATTTCTGCGTGATGGATTATTAGTCACACTCGATCGAATGTGCGGCAGATGGTGTACTAATCGTCGTGAAAATTTATCCCGAAACAAACCCGGGACCAACGTACAGCAGAATTTGTTAGCCTTTCGTTTCTTTCCATTCGACCTACAAGTTAAGTTATCTCAAAAAGCCCACTGACACTTGTCATCCTTATATTCTAGAAATCCGTTTAGAGGCAAAGTGTTCCATGACAACATGCACGAAGATGTCTACAACGGTGTGGTAATTGACTACCGTGGAAAAGTAGGCCCCTGTTCCGGTGCGCAGCAATCAAGTGAAATCCCGCATCAGTTCACCGTGTAGCACAATGTGCAAGTAGAATGACAGTGCAGATCAAAACAAAATACAAATGGCATGGCAGATTGATCACTTTCACTATATGACAGGATGGTAAATCCACTTGAACGAACAGTAGTCATGAGGTCATAGAAAACTATCAGACCGCCCATGACCGAGTTCACCCTTCTGAATTTGTCCTATCAAGTAGGCTAGCGTTCTTGTCGAAAGAACCGCGAAAAGTGCACATGGACCAACAGTATGCGAATAGCTTTCTCCGAGGAAATATCCTGTGATATCCCGAGGGATGCACCTAAGAAACCAAGCAGCGTGTCCAGGACAGCAAATTTAGCTACAGAATATCATAGATAAGAGATGTTCCACTGTGGTGATCATGCTCATGGGTGATACCCACTTCCATGTAGTGGTTATTTCTCACGTAGTTTGTGCTTCTCGGCTAACGAGGTACATGAGGTTTTCTCGGTAGTGCTCCCAGCTAGTCCATGTTACACTAAACTACTAACACTGGGCTCGAGGAGCAAATCACAATGCCATGCTTGGCACATAGAGGAACAATTGAATTCTTCAGGTTTCAGCATGCACCGACCATCGTGGAAATAATATGAGTGAAGATGGATGGCTGATCCTAGATTTCAATTATCTCTTCGGCTGAAAGTGAATGAATACTGTGAATAGAATGAGTACGGAGAACATCGTTGTCACAGGAATAATTGGTAATGCGTGTTCACCTGTTTTAGGATGTCACACGGAATAATTTCCTGAACGTATTAAAGGGCGATAAGAAACTTGAAGCCAAAAATAAGAAGGTGCTTAAAAGGTGAGTTTGCGCGGAAATGGATATTGTTGATGCACTTGCTGATCACAGCAAGAATTCTAGTTTTGGAGGTCACCGTCTTCGGATTTACGAAATGCGTGTTTAGTATTCTCGTAAGTAATATGGTACATAATCTGTTTTACTGAAGCTCCCGAAGTCAGTCATTACATTTGCCGTTTTAAGGGCAAACGTTTTTTTCCATTTCAGACTATGCGTTATTATTATATCAATGGCATAGTTCAGGTATACACCGTTTGGATTTGCGATTGCGGCGCAATCCGTAGTCACCAGCCATTTGGGCGTGTTTCCTGAGTAGCCGATGCTTTGTAGGGGAGCAGTGTGTAGATACTTAATTAGATATTCCCAGCTCCCGCGAACCCTTTTGAGTAAATTTTTTAAGAACACTGTTAGTTGGTGGTCTGCTGTCATTCAGCTTCGCTTCCAGGAACTTGGTGCCCCGTGTTCTGTTCGGTCACCATTCCAAAACAGCGGTCTGGTAGCTGTTCAGATGGAACTTACTCTGAGGTTTCGCCAGTCCTATCAATAGCTTGGGGTGGGGAGTTCCAGCATTCACCCTCAAACGCACTCAGTTTGAAATCCATTGCTGAACGCATCCGCAAAATAACAATGGGTCAGTCGCAATGTATTGACTGTTGCCTAGAGTACGGAGTTTCCACTGCCTGTCACGGGCACTATATCCTGTTGTAGCAAGCTATTTTTCTGCATCCAAACACTTTCGTGCAGAATATCTCGTTCGTCATATTCAAAACATTTTTACTGTTTGCCATACCGTGAGCCTAACAGTTTGTATTTTGGAAGTTGGCTGATGTTGTACAAAGATTTGTTCAAGGTGAGCTCGGCGGTTTTTTATTCTCTTCTACTTCACAGCAAACTGCTTTATTCTTGTGCCTCAAATAGTTTCCTTTGCGGATCTAATGCATAACTAACCACAAGGTGAACAAAAGCTTTCTGATCATAAGCTAACCAAACCATGTAGTTTGTTGAGATAGTGGATGAAATAGTTTTCAGAATAGTTACTCAATGGCGATAGACTCCCGTTCTTAATAGACAGTTCTATCAGAGGAAGAGCATTTAGCCAAAAGGACCCTGAAAATCAGGTCACAGCCCAAAAGATATTCAAGACGAACCAAACAAAATGGAGTACTAAAATCTGAAGTCTTATTGAGAGCCTATTAAATGTGGGGAAGGCGGACCGCAACACAAAGTACTCAGTAACCGGCCAATCGGACCCTTACCAAATGGTCCTCAGACAGAAGCTACTGAAAGCACATATCAAATTCAGGGAACGCGAACCACAACGCAGTGCACATCGAACTGAACCAATTGAACCCCGCAAACTTTATGCTCCCGTCAACCAGTCACAGCCGCATAATGCCAGACTGGTATTCAGGGGGTGCTTACCCAAACATTGACTCATGATGTCACTTCGGTTGGTGATGAAACAACTCCAAGGTGATCATCGGGATCAGAGAACCGACGGGCGCCCTCTTGATCAAAGACCAGCAAACTGAACATATCTAGATCAATTACATATAAAAACATATGGCCTCTTGGATATCCCTGTCCAAAGTGTAGGGTCGTCTATTGCTAATTAAAATATTTCCCTCAGTAGTGTAGATATTTTCATGCACAGATATAATCATGCTATTAAGAGTGTGACTTCGAAAGATTTGAGTGTGACCGTTCCAATGGCAAGATGATAAAACTAACTGAAGTATAAGACTGCCTCCATTCACCTCCATGCATTCAAAACCCTAGGAGCTACTATAACACGTGATGTATTATAAACCATCGGATGTCCTAAAATAGATCTTTTACTCCCGCTTTCACGTGACCATGCAAATCCAGAACAGCGAAAATTTAATTTGGATGCCGATTATAACCAGTAGCCTGGACAAAACAATATTCTGACGCTGTGTTCGCTGTCATCCTAGTTCTGCCATTTTATGTTGTGCTTTCCTATGTTTGGTTGCTCCACAAAATAGGCTCCTCTTCGTTACCACCTTAACCATTCTGCCCACCTACAGCGGTCCTGATGACAACGTGTTCCTCTTCTATTCTGGGCACGGTGCAGTATCCTTTGTTAAATTGCTAGAAGAAGAAGTAAGTTTAGATAATTTTGGTAACCACTTTTATAGCACACAGTTTTTCCGTAGGAAGCTAAATGGAGAACGGATTGGAGAGTCTTAGATAAACATATGTTGGCGCGTCCTCATCCATAATTCTTTATAAATGAGAGCTTATAGTCTCCCAAAAGTGATATCCCCTGCAATTCAATTTAGTAGGCCTCGTCTAGGTGCGTTAAGTGATAACGTCAAGATTTCGTTTCACTTAATTCAGGTCACTCAACTCACATGGTTTCGCGGTCGATTCATTTAGACTTCTGAGCAAACGTAGATACCATGTACACAGAAGCTGGTTGTATACGGTAGCACACGAAAAACTCGTCAGCTGAAGTCCTCCTTTCAGAGCGACTCAATCTTCCTTACTTCTGGAAACACAGCGCCAAACTTTGGTAGTATGAAGATGTTAGGTATGGGAAACCAGTCTGTGTGGAAATTCCGGGAAGCAATATTCAGCGGTTCCATCCTCATTGGGATTCGTCAACGGTGTGCTTGGTAGTTGCAATATAAAACCGCTCGGCCATGGGCAGCCAAACGACGGCCTGATTTGTCCGCGTTAAATCAGGACATAACGTCGCCTATTCTTCAATCAAGGGATCCACACCACTGATGGCTGACTCCTCGAGTGACGTCTTCTCAAATGAAAAGATCTAACTGTCGGGTGAGTTAGTGTTCCCTTTTAACTACTTAAAGTCTGTTTGTAGTGAGAAGACATTTGAAAGGGTGCCGTTCTTTGCCTTAAATTTCGTGAATCGCGATTGGAGTTAAAATACTCTCTATAGATTGGGACGTGGGAAAAATATTTCAAAACGGAGGTGGAAGTGACTATCGAAGTGACATGAAAATCAGTCGTTCAAACTGCCCATCCATCATTCCGATTTTGTGACTGCACTTGTTCACTCTAATATTGGTCTTTGCGTAGTATTTTCAAGAGAGGTTTACAGTACCGTCAACATTATAGCTGACCAAACCTACAGGGGACATGCTGGCACTCATATACCGAGATACGAAAAGACGTTTAACATGGTACTCAGTGATGACTCCAAAAAGCTTAGCAAAACGCATTCAAACGTTGTCTATCATCTGATTCTGTTGGACATTATTCCCAAAACAATCAATACTAATTCAGCTGGATTACCCATACGGTGCTCAACTGCTATTCCACGAGGGATGAGACACTGAAATTTTCCGAAATCCAGAAGGGAACAGTCGAAATGCTGAGGTTGGGTTCGAAATCGTTACGTTCTTGCTTTTGTCCCTGAGCTATCTCCAGCTCACGAGAATTTTCCTTCCTGTGTTGCGACAGCTGCATGCCGTGGAGTTGAACGATATCCTCGCCTACATGCATTCAAAAAAAAGTACAACAAATTTGTGCTGTACGTGGAGGCGTGCTACTCCGGCTCTCTGTTTCGAAATACTCTTCCTTCAAATATGGGAAGTAAGTAGCGTAAGTGTTTGGCACGGTGTCGTACAGATCCTGAGTGGTAGCACTCAGAATGTCCTCCATATATGGTTAAAATGCTGCACTTGCCAGTACAACAAAACAAAATTCCCAGCTCGGTTCATCCTTGTCTTCTTTGTGATCCTTGTAAGGAATTAGTTTCTGGCTCTACTCAAGAACCGTTTAGCCGGGGCTTGCACAACATTCAGCCTTCGATGACTGTTATCGCTTCTTCTGATGAAATAGCTGCATATGGGTTGAAGAAATCATTGTGTAACCCGTACAACCCCTGTGATATTTTGTTGTCCGTTTGAGGCAACCACCAATGCCCAGTGAGTATCTTCTTTGTTGATTGTGAGTGGATCGTGGCTATTTTATAAAATGTACACGTCAACCCATCAAAAAACAGGTCTGATACATGCATGCTATAAAAAATACAGATTGGACATTCACATGCTGATTTGAACTTTCCGAGCTGACCCAACCGAATCCAGCGAATTGTGTCGTTCGTGAGCGTGTTTGGCCAGTCCGTCCGGTTTGGGTTCAAGAAGTAACTGAGTTCTATGGAAAGTCGAGGTCTTTGCCTACCTGGTTCGTCGCCAGTGGCGTGAAAACCATGGAATCTGACAACGGACTGTCAGGGACCTTCTAAGAAATGTGTTAGTTCCAGGATTCGTACAGCTTCATAATTTCTGCGGGTCACATGATCAGTTTGCCAATCATTTATCTCACTATTTTACGCATATTTGATATTGACCAACATTATATTTTGCCTGAACCCCTAAATCTAATCTGTAGTTGTTAACATCAGCCAAGGAAGATGAAGAATCCTGGTCTATTTTTTGTACTGACAAGGATATCGATACTTGTCTAGCGAACGAATTCCCGTACGCCTGGATTACAGATTCGGAATACGTGAGTTTTAGCAAAACTACTGCAGATAAGCCTATCAGTTTTGGTTGGGTAATAACGTTGTAGTCACGAGCCAGTGGCAGTCCACTTGGTACATTAAAATACTTCTTCGTTTATTTCGAATGCGTTGGCTACAATCCTCTTAGAAATATAGATCTTTGGATGACATTGGGGCCAGGTATCTTCCAGAGTCAGCAAATACTATTGACGTTTGCGAACACTCGACCCAAATTTTTGTTTCGACTTCCGGTACTCGTTTATCATGCGCAGAGTAGATGTGTGCTTCTTGTCTTATCTCCTTCCAGTCTTGAACGCCGATGATTACGCCTACCTAGGTATCATTAAGGTAATGAATATTTCGCACATTGTGGCTTATTCGACAGCGTGAGGTTGTCCACTCATCCCAAAAATCAACCTCCGAACACAGATCCAACATTTGGTGTCACCAATTTGGATATGTCAGCTCCGGTTCAGCTTAGCTTGCATCAAGCCGGGCAAATGTTTTCCTTTGGCCTGCAACCTACTCAGCATTAATATCCTTCATTAGTATGGCGCGCTTTGCGAGACTGGTTATAATTCTTTTATAGACATTTCAGCTCGCAAATGACTACCTAACACAAACACCACCTTCTCCAATGGTGCCACGACAAATTTAGTTTTGAAACATGAACAAGATTAATGTGAATTCAGCAATCTCGACCGCCCGGTGGCCCCAAAATAAAGAAAGAATTAGTTGGATATCTAAACATCCTCACTAACCCCTCGATTCCGCTAACCTCTAAACTTGTGGAGGTATGAATAGTTATGCATAGAGGTATGGGTCTATCGAATGTCTGGGTGCCATCGATGTACATCGCCCCTTAAGATGGAGACTGCCTTAGTTCCACTGTGTTTGGGTGAATTTTTCGGAAATTATGCATTTGAATTGATATCAGGTGGTTTGACTGTTGTCATTTTTGATTCACATCGCTTGAGTGTATGCCTGAAGCTGCAGGAGGATCGAAATTATTGTGGTGGCCCAGCACCAAGTTTCACCCATTCATTTTGACTCCTTTCTTCGGAATATGGCTTTCAGTGAATTTCGAATACGCTCAGGGAATCGTCAGTTTTAAATAGGGATGCTGATAATGATGACATTGATTATCATTATTACCATTATTATCATGTCGAGGAGTAGGACGTGGGTGATCATCGTGATATTGATGGTGATAATGGATCTCCTGAACGCATTCGTCTCAATATATCTGTCGAAATAAACCACAAAAAGTAGTGTGCAGAGTATTCTGTTGCATAGATATTCACTCGGGATCCAGGTCATCGAAAATCGAGTTTTTATTTTTGTCACATATCCTGCTTCATCACAAATGAATGACGTTTAACTGTTTCCCTAGCTGACAATACTTTATTCAAAATATGCGTCCAGGATTGCAACACATGTTTACGCATGTTTAGTTACTGACTGCCGAGCAGGGTGTTGACTTCCGTGCCCAGTCCGGATTGTCAGAGACCTAAAGGTGAACGTAACTTCACATGACAGCAGGAAATTAAGGATTCTATGAAAAGTTTCAATACTGTTAGTTTTTTTCACCTTTCAGAATGAGGTCTAAATGACTATCTCAGTGCCTGGCTAGAGACGCCGAATAATATGGTGACCCAGTATTGTCACTGGCGTTAATGCTGTCAGTTTCCGTCCAGATTGTCTGACTAATTGTCGGAGGTGTATGTACCTCGGGTGCTTTCTGAAGACTAGGCCTATGTTTTCATTCCCGTTCCATTAGCCTTCCTTTTTCTACTACAAATAAATTGGAATGCATGTGCGGCAGTATAGCATCCGTTTTTTCCTCTACTTTTGCACTCGATGATGATGATGGCGGTGATCAATACTATACAGCATCAAATCCCTAGGATGTGTCGGAATGCTTACTAATTTACAATTAGTATGGGTCGTTCCATACCTCGACTATCGTATCTCTAGTGACAGTTTCACAGTTTTGCCTACATTGGATCAATCTTGAAATTGCGTAAGATGATGTGTGTCCCCTACACATCTCCCCTTTGTCATTACCTCTCCCTCGCGCGCAGCATGACTTGAAAACGCGTACACTGGATCAACAGTACGAGGAGGTGAAAAAAGGGACAGCGGAGAGTCATGTGATGAAGTACGGTGAGATGGTGAGTCACACAGTCACGGAGAAATTCAGTTGAGTTTTTTGTGAAGAAGCAAATTGTTTTGGAAATGAGTGTATTTATCGAGATGACAGTTGTGTTTTGTTATCTGTGAAAGGTCACGGTCAGTGTTGAAAACACTCGATTAGGAACTTCAGGTTCCATAGACGAAGTTCAACAAGGCTGCTAGTCCAGGTGTCAAGATATCCAAGCCTGGACAGTTTCACTTTTCGGATAGCCAAGCTATGACTTTAGGCCCCTTATGCTTCATACGTCTGTGTTTTATGGTACAAAAGGAAGTCGAATGTATATGAATCATTTACAAGTAGCCCAGAGGAAGAAAAATTTTACAGAATAGTTTTACTTGCAGCTGAAAAGCTGACACATGAGGAGCCAGTCAATACGTGGCCACCTGATGTGGTTTTCCGCGATTGAACGATGAGTGACGCCGTGTGCTGTCCAAGCTGCTGATCAGTCCCCTATGGCAGAATGTTTATCAGTTCCCTACTGGAGTAATGTACACACTTCTTCTGACTCCCAATAAAGAGGAAATAACCATTCAGTGCTCCTCCGTTTTTCAGCATAGATTGGCTTCATCGAAAGGCAAAATATCCATTTAAATGAGAAAGATCTGCTAGGCGGCACAGAGCGGAAGTCTACAATAAGATGGGTACAGGCGATCGATAAAAGCACGTCAAGAATTCATCGTGATGCGATTCAATCTTAAAATATACTATATGGCCACGCTGTTACTGAACTAGCTAGCTACGGTAATGTTTCAGAAATATGCTCAACTAGGCACACATTCGAAATATACATCGACACCTCGGATACTGCGCCTTGGTCCGATTCGCAGAAACTTAGTCAATGTAGTTTTGAAATTCGTTGTGGACCTGACCGAGCAAACATATGTGATTATATTATTGACTCGGTGGACATCACTGGCATACATTGGTGTTTGCGAAACGGTTTCGGAATTAATGTTCGTTGATCAACCGGATCATTCTACACGAACGCGTGAGTACTACGATGTAAAACTACGGTTGCAGAGTTAGCCGCTTCTACATTTATGGAACAAGATGCTATCGCGGTTGATAATACACTAATTGCTGTCTGTTTATTCATTATTGCCGACGATGGGAAGTCTCATAATTGGAAAATTCCAAGGTCATTATGATCTACCTATGCACCGGAATGACACACAATACTAGTATGTGCTCAGCGCCGTGTTAGATATTTGTTTACGGAACCAAGTTACCACTCCATATTCGTAGGACACTCTATAGAGTTGCCAATTCACAGGCAGAAACGCCTACGAACCAAGTTGCTATCGACAAAGAGCGCTAATTTTGGAGTGACTCAACAACCTCAATTGAAATGTCTTGGGATGTAAACAAGAGTTACTGCGATCAACAACGCTCATCCGAGGAGCCTTTCAATGTGGTTTGCTACAAACGACTCGATGGACTGATAGATAAATACATAGATAGATAGATAGATAGATAGATAGAGAGATAGATAGATAGATAGATAGATAAACAACAAAGAGATTAATAGCGGTCAATCTACATAAACAAATCGGAGCGAGCGAAACGTACATCATACGCATGGAGCGGCTGATGATTGCCTGTAGCATCGTCAGTGATAATCGTGCTGATTTGGAAATCCTATCGCTCCAAAATTTGAGCGTTTCACTGATTGAATTTATTCGTTGATCTCATGTTATTCCTTCGACCGAACATGGTATTTACCACTAAACGTCATCACCTGCTGAAATCAAAATGCTAACTATTTCGGCAACAGGGCTTTGTGTCATCAAGAATATTGGCTGGATGTGATTACGGCACAATACAATACACGATATTACAGATCTGGTTTCAAATATTTAAGGAAATACATGAAACGTTAGTGACGTTCCACTTACCGCAACATGAACTGCGGGCGACAAAATTCCTGCGACAACTTGCGTAACCCTGGAAACCGAGTGGTATTATGTAGTTTCTTCTTAATAGTGAGTGGTCTAGGAAGGCAATTCTTCCAGTCAGTATCGTCAGATCTCCTGATGACAGTGAATGTTCCAGTCAGTGTCGTCAGATCTCCTGATGACAGTGAATGTTTCCCAATTGTCTTCTTGGTTCCAGCCGAACGCTGCAGATAAAAAACACTCTTGCCAGGCGCATTTGTTTTCAATGTCTCGACGCTTGATGGAGGCCGCAATCAAGGAAGAACATCGAACCGCTTGACGAAAGCCGAACCGTGCAATTCAGGTTTGCATTTTACCTTATTCCACTGATCATCAACCGAGAACTGAAAGAACGATAGAGAATATGTGTTGCGAATGCATGGGAGCAAATAAATCTTAACCAGTCCTGTATTTTAGCGGTCGATTATTGATGCTACCCAAAAATCCAACGTTCTTCGATTAGATGTGCTAGAAGCCATAACCATTCTTCCCGCGTCTTTTAGCTTGGCCACATCGTCAAGGAAACGTTTCGCGACATCGTCACGGACGTGACGACCCACCATAAGCTAACTCTGAATGGCTTGTCTAAAAGGGACGAGACGATGTGTTTTCAGGCACTATTCGATCAATTCCGGACGCACTGCTTTACAATTCAGCAGGTGAGTTGACCTTCTGATGTACGGACACAAGGGCCCGCTTACATTACTAGTGAATGCATTTACTCCTTGCGTAACGTAAGGTGAGCTTCGGTCCCAAAATTACCTACAGATAAACCGCTAGCAGACGACCTTTACGGTAGGAACGTTTGTGGCAAATTCGGTACTCACATCACTAGCATCCTCTTTCAGTTCGTTCAATCGCACCTTAATTCCGGAACATCGTGTTCATTTAAGGAGACGCGTAATGTCTAAATTCGTTATCACAAATGCGACTCATAGAAGGTAGAAATTGGTTAAGGCAGTTCGGATTTTTAAGCATTCCGAGAAGTTATGGAATAATATCTCCTATTCTTTGCAATGTGCATATGTACATACCAAGATTGAGTCAACTAAATTGAATTTAGTTCAGTTCAGTTCAGTTCGGTTCAGTTCAGTTTAGTCCAGTTCATGTCAGTTCAGTTTTGCAGCTACACTGGCTGGATTCCTTGACCTTCCTGGCAAGGTTAAGCCGATTGAGAACCGGTACCGATTCTAACCGGTACAACACAGCACCACGAAAAGCGGATAGATTGAGATTGCAAGTGACACGGGTTAGCCTCAATGAGAGGTTCCTTGTTTCCGAATGGTCCGTGAGATCAGTGCTGCTAAGGAACATTGTGAAGCGAGATTTGACCAGCAAATGTAGCTAGAATTGTTGTTCACAACGCAGAATTTTGAAGAACATTTACCGAAAACAGTGACGTCCAACCAACAGAAAAATTGAACCACCAGTGCGGCAAACGACAGAAGGACAAGCCCAGAATGATACTCGTAACTAATGAACCGGAGTCAGTTGTTAGGAATATATCCGTTTCAGTTTGAGTGTCTATCGTGGTTTCAATGTTTTGACAACTACTTTCAGATGTCTGTTGACTCAAAGTTTGGTTATTCTGTATGCAGTGGTATAAATCCCGCTTGTTTAGTCAGCGAGAACAGCCTTCGTTACAAAATCCCGTTTGGTTCTACCTGTAAGTAGTTTGCGTGAAAGGTCACGAATGCCCGCTGCTGCCGATGTTCTAATTACCAGTATTTGAAATTGATCAACGACAACACGCAGCAACACACAAAACGTTTGAGAAGCATACCATACGTTTAGTAATCCTAAGAGTCGTTCCATATCTTCAGCGACGGCATCGGGGCATTGTTGGTTCACTTCGCTTAAGAAGCCTTTGCCATGAAATGTAACACATGCCTTTTTCAAACTACCGAGGAATTTGCTTTTGGTTAGTTGATATCCATTCTCCCATCCAGAGCAATCGATCGCGTAAATGGTTAGACTAAGCATTCTTGAATCACGTGTTGCCTCCGTGAATGTTCAGTAAGCGTACACGGTTTATTCTCACTTGATTGTTCACCGGAGATTCCTTGAATCTCAAAACACGCCTGACTTACGAATGCACTTCGAAGACAAATTTGCTGACCACTATTGTCGCACAACGGTAATTGGTTAAATGAGTGAATCCTGGGTAGTCCTTCCTTGATGTGGCCGTTTTTTTGGAATTCACAAATCCATTCTGCACAGAGGAAGTCCAGTGGAAAGCACAAGTATTCTACTCTTTCGTCTGATTTAATACGATTTGATCTAATGGTGGTGGATGTTCAACCGAATAGAACACAGACACTCCCCTGTACGGAGGATTAACTTGTATAACTTCAGTGGATTACCAACAAAACAAATCCGTACAATTTGGTCTCAGGTAGAACATAGGGTTGACGGAAAATCTGGAACGGCGACAGCCTGATGAGCCCCAAGAAGAGCAATACGGAACATAGTTTTAATATGTATTTTGTTTTCTGATGTTCACACATTTTCACTCATCTGCTACTCAACTGAAATATTTCGCGTGTTCTCAGCTAGCATTTGAGGGAGATGTATCAAATCGCTTCGAAATGACCAGAATTCAGATATGCCGATACTCGCCAACGAATCACGAACCCATCATCCGCCTGACCTTCAGTGTACCTCACTGACAATCTGCCCCACTCTTTAGCATAATGATCATTTCCTATAAAATTCTGATTCCTTTTGGTAGACTTTAGGATCAATCTTGTGTGAGCGCACTCTCCTGATCGTTTGAAAGCGTACTTAGTCATTATTACAAATCTGTGCTCGACATGTAGGAAACCGAGTCCTCCCTGTGCGCAGGGAACCTTCAGTTTTCCTAGCTGAGATCCTGTTATCTATATGCCTTTAGGTCCCCGAAGTAGCTCGGCAAACAAATCATTTCATGGAGCTGTGCAAAGCCGGATACAAGGCAAAAACCCTAATCGACTCTGTCCACAACGTTTGTTCTTAACCGACAAGCAACGTGTTTTGTGATTTTACCAATATAAAATGAACTGCAGCTTGTCTGCACCGTGTTTTCCATCGTCACAAAGCATCGGGTGTGTTTTTCCATCAAGCTAGCCATCCAGAAATCGTTCGGTAAAACAAAACCTAAAGCATTAAGGCAAAACTGTCGGGGTGCTCATTCCTTGTGAACTCATCAAGACGCCTCCACATATCCGACCTACCAGTGCACGATAGTTGCACAGGAGGAGTAAATAGGCCAGCAGGCCTACACAGGTAGAACAGTTTTTTCTCGTTTGTCGACACAAACACACTGCACAAATTTCAATCGTTCTCCTGATCACTCAAACCGTGCTGGAGACGCATCCTCAAACTTAGCACCATTGACTTTGAATATGTAATTATACAGCTCTTTAAAGCTTCACCGGATATCTAGATGAGGTCTAACAGTCAGACCGTTAAGGAGTCTTTTGAAATTTTCTGTTTTGGCAATTGTTCCCTTACCTCACTGTCAGCGTGATGTTGTTGTATCAGATTAACCAACCGGGCGATATTCATGCGCGTGGTACGGTACGGGACCGACTCCAAGCCATATGTATCTCGTCCAGAATCATTATGCAGTTACCCGAAAGAAGTTTTGGATACAACCGATGCGCAGTACCGCACAGACAGCGGCACAATGGAGAGAATGATTTCCAGGGGATGAAGAATAAATGCTTCGTAGCTGACAAATAAAACGCCGTGCGACACAAAATGCCGGTTGGCCACACGGTTGATACACAACAAAATCTGTACGACTTTTCCTGAAACGAGCTGCTGCCCAGAAGAATGCTGAAAAAACCTTGAGCATCCCAATACGGGTTTCACCTTCCTGGGTAACATTAGATATGCGTACAATGTGATGCCCATTTGAAACAAGGTTGATAGTAAATCGCAACGGGATGAACTCCACCCAATAGATGCGGCATGACAGTCGTTTCACAGCATAAATCTATCTTGGGACTAACGTACAAAATCATCTTATAGTGAACAGTCCTTCTGCGCTTTACTAGAGCTGTCAACCCACAGACTGCGATGGAATGAAATGCGGACTACAGTATACGAACAATCCTACATTGCATTGAACTACATGATGTTTGGAGCTGGGTGGAGGCACACCACCATATAACACCAGCACGGAATTCGACGTCATTTGCTAAATGTTAAGCCATGAAGGAATTGGCAATATGCAAGCCTAGAAGCATGGATTCCCCGTCCTGTTAACTTTCCTGTTGCGAGTTTATGTGAGCAGCAGTCATACCATTTCCTTCTATCGTAAGGAATGTGTTTCATCCGAGCAACCAATAGCAACCTACGGCATTCAAAACATCAGAGGCTAGTATCACGCCAAAACCCCAAATCAGACGGCAATTCGATTTCTTCTGTTACACACGGAATTTAGCGACCGCATAAAACAGGTTTTCGCAACCAGCGGGTGGAATACTTTAACTACACCTCGTTTTTGGGCAAATGTCGGGTAAATGACGTGTGCCAGGTGCCAGGAGGAACTCACCGATAAGCGTTTGTGTCCGATTGCAAAAGTCAGAACGGCCTCGCGCCATTTAAAGAGCCCTTCTCGCATTGATCCAGGCAGTCTGGTCGCGCTTCTGTGAGACACATGAAAGCTGATCAAATTCGTTCGTGCTTCCGTTGCGTGCGTGAACGCTGATCGGCTTTTGCTAGGTTGATTGAATGATTGACTGCCCTGGAGGTTTTCTGATTTCCTAGTCAGATTTTTGGGAAGTTTTACGGTTTCAGCCGGTTCCGACCATTCTAGGGTTTCCTTCATGAATGGGAACTTCGCGATAGAAGCAAACACTCTCATTTGCACATTAACTGTGTCTTAACGGGTGACTCTTCCCCAGTCTGCAGGATAACTGACGTAAATTTTGTCTTTCGCTTTCTACAATAAGAGACATAATACTGAGCTCAAACTGGTCGTGCTACGAAAACGACAGAAGCAAACCGCGCATCACGGTCACGCCTCCCACCCTGCCAAGGTTTTATATTTACGAATAAAACCATACAAAAACTTTCAGAAGTGACATTATTGTCTCTAGAGAGCTGTTTAAGGATTGCTCCTCTTCCAGTGGAGGAAGCATCAGTAATGATGTTTGAGTGATGTTTGACGGAAAATGATTTCAAAACAGCTGAATTTGGGAGCTGAAGAAGTCATATACGCAACGTCTTTTCATGGTTGTAGGACCAAAAATATTGACTGAAAGGTACGACATCAGAGAAGCAACTTGCATATTTGGCGGAATTAGGAACAAAACGGGAGTAATACTGAGGTGCTCCGATGGACTGAAAGCAGTTCTTGTAGATAGGTTCGTGACGGCACATTTACTAAAGGAGATATACGGTCTGCATCGGTTTTAAAATCGCCGGCATCCTCAATGTAACCAAAGCATGAAAAGGATAGAACTCTAAAGGTGCATGTAGCAGGGTAAATAGTACTAGTATTAATAATCATAGTAATATTTATTCCCAACTAGTGGGTAGCATACCGTCGGTCATGACAGTAGTATTACAGTCAGAATAAAATCATGACTGGTGGGGTTTGTGATTAATGGGAAAGCGAAAGTGACTTAAACGGTAAACATTAATGAAGTAGAGTTCATCACACCTGAGGTGGCATGGGTAGGAATCCAAAGTTACAAGGTCTCTTTATGTCCTATGGAGAACATATAAGATTGCACGAGGTCTGAACTTTAGGGTTCAAAAGTTGCGGGCAAAGAAAACATAAAAAGTGAGGGCATAACAAACAGCTTCCTGACTGGAACGTGACAAAAACAAAAAAACGTCAAACTACAGGAAGTGTAGGACCGTAATAATAGATATGGAGTGGCAG